TCTAAGCATTGAATGACTGTGTGTGGTGAGAATGGGCGTAAGATAAGTGGAACGAGGGGGATGTAATACGTTATTTGAAATACAAACGCTGACTCCGGTCGCACATCTGTGAGGAGGTTCCCTGCAGGAAGAACCCACACGCTAGATTGAATTTTTGTAATAGTCTCCTTCAAGCTGCACTGTGTATCTTGTGTGCCACGTCCCAACAATTGTTATATTTGCACAGGTCCAGACCACCAACGGCACACCGCTTGACATTCCACTCATTTCTCAACATGTTACCCAGTGCGTCTGTAAGTCCCCAAGGCTAACCTAGCTTTCTGACAGCATTAATACCTCACCTTTCACCTGCACTTTGTCAAAAGAAAGGTAGTCCATCATTTCAAGGAGAGAAAAGCGGTGCATTGAGCAGGGGATGATTGAGACGTTACATGTTTGATCTGCTGAAATATTTGCAGAAGGATTCCCGAGCGTACGGGTGATTAGGCTTTTCGGAGGGAGTTTCCCAACACCTGCCCAGTGGGAGCTAAAAACTTTGCCCTGTGATCATCCATTTCTTTCCAACATTGATGCTAATTGCCGTCAAAGAATATAACCACGTTATTATCTGACATAATATCAACAATGGTGATTTCTGTAACACTGCATGATTCGTTGACCACGTTTTGGAATATTAATTGTTAATGCAAATGCTTTTTAAAATTCAGGTCATTCAAGGGATTGCGCTCTAATTTCCATCTGTATTTCGTTAAGTTCTTAGAGCCTTAATTTAACAGGCAAAAGTAAATAGCAAATCACCGTCAGTGCCATCATTAACCTACATAACTGTATAAAAGTAATTCAAACAAATCCAGAAAACACTCAAAGAAAGTGCGAAAGAAATGTTTTTACCATGTCACATCTCATTTTCTTTAACAGCCTGAATGAATTAGGTTGTCTCGAAAATGTTGTTCTGGACCTATCCTGCTAAAATAAACACTTCCTCAAAACTGTGCGCAGACACAAATCAGCTAACTTGCTCATGATTATTAACACCACTGTTTGTTTGAAATTAGGCGCCTATCTATTTTCATTAACAACTAAAATGAGCTCGCTGTACCTGCTAGCAAATCAAGGCACATTTATTTCCTTTCACAAAACAGCATCATGCTGATTGTAATTTTGTGGTCAAACAAATGCACAAATGACAGATAGAAGTTTATGATGCATTCTAGAAAACAGTGCAAGGTAATTCAATGAATTGTAAAATTTTCCTTTTTAACTTAGCAATGATCAAGGCAATTCAACACTGGATTTAAAAACCAACTGAGAAAAAATAGTCGCCTTTAACCACGAGATGTCCGCATTAACTCTTTAGCTTTGCGTGCCGTCATGTTCATGACATTATCTTTTATACTGAGGTAAGTCTTCTGTGGGATGAAAAATGGGTCACAATCAGCCTCAGCCAAGCCCTGTTACTGTGTCCTATGCATCAAGATGTTGCACAGTTAAGTCCTGGTAGATCACACTAAAGAAAGTGTGCATTTTTAGAGTTAAACAACATACCCAAGTGTTTTTAATCAGTATCAATCCCACATCTGAACTGAGCTTCATGCTCAAGAGCACATTCCACCTGTTAAGATGGTTACTTAGTTGACAGCAAAACTAAACCTTTCGGCACCTGTTAATTCACTCTGAAGGCAAGAGGAAGATACCTCCAGACAGATTTAATTAATCTCCACCGTCACCATCCTCAATATAAGACTCAGGAGGCCTGCAGAGAGCATTGGAGAGCTTATAATTCTGTCTATTGCAGGTGAAGATACTAAGACAGTTTTGTTTTTTCTTTGTATCTAAATCGTCCCAGGATGATGGAACTTTGCTTAAACTAAGGAATCATTTGGCCGAACCCAAGTTGAACCCGAGCGATGATCCCAAATGAGAAGCAAATGTTTTCTAGGGCAGATTTACAAGGAACTATGATTGCATCACTGCATGCTCTGCAGGCCAGTAAAACAAAAGCTGACAAAGTAGGGAGACAGTGAAAAGAGGTTTCATGCAATGGCCAACCAATCAAACTGTCATGTCCCTGAGCTGTGCCTGATGGTATGATTTAACAGTGAGGATTTCATGCTTTTTCAGACAATGTCTGATTTAAGTTTTATGGGTCATGTTAGCAAAAAAAAAGTAAGAAAAAAAAGATGGACTGCCCAGTTGACATCCAGTAAACACTTAATTCTTCTGCACAAATCAAAGCCTAGAAGTGAAGAAATACCTACAGACATCTCAGAGGCCTCTTTGACCTATCGGTACAAACAAACATTTGAAAAATGAAAAATCAACAAAAACTCAACTACAATTGTCACATGAATTTCCCTTTTATTTCCAGTAGATGCCATTCTTAAGTCTTTTGTCTAAAAAGCCACATACTATGGCCACATAGTGCTAGGGGTTTTTTTCCTTGGTGTTATTTCGACAATAGCATTGTCACTGTTAGCTTTAAACATTAAAAGCATTCAAAATAAAATAAAAAAACACCACCTTAATGTTCCATCCTGCGGTTATTCTCACAACATAAGTGAGCTCTTGTGAAGAGCAGTGTAAATCAATGAAAACAAAAAATGGTAACAAAAAAGGCACAAAAAAAGGAAATACATTCTCAAACTCATCCTACAATTGTTATAGATGCATTTATTGCTCTATCGGACTAACTTCACAACACTTGGAATATAGTAAGCGCTGAAAGACAATTCTTTTGTATTTAGATAACGTAACCAGCCTTTGACATAATTGCTCTTTTTTTAGGTCATTTAAATTTATAAGGATCCAAATTTTATCTAAAAAAACTGCATTAATTAAACAAAAATGTAAAAACGACATGAAAATCTGTTCAACCAAACCATGCTAATCCCATCAGATTCAGCCTGTCAGACCCTCCAGTCAGAAAGTTAGACCCTCCAGAAAGTTCCAGTCAGATGTAGAACATTTCAACCACCAAAACTATTTAAAGGAGCAAAATATCATCTTGTACAGAGTTGTGAACTGTTCATACAAAAAAAAACTTTAAAAAAAAGATGTGAGCACAAAACGCAAAAATGCACAAAAATTTAACGGCACTTGTGGGTCTCCATAAAAACCAATATTAATCCTAATTAAAATCCAATTCAGCTTTCACGTTTTTTTGTCTTAGAGCAGGTCAATAACTGCTATTGATTGCCTTAAATGACGGTGGAAAGTTTAGCTGTATTGATTAAAAGAAAAAGGCTAACATAGTTACTAAAAAAATCAATAAAGAAAAAGACAAAACAAAGCTGCGGGACAATTCGCTTCTCTGTTATCCTTCTATGCGAGACTAGATTTAAATGCTATCAGCAACAACTTTTTTTTGTCCACATGTGCTGACATTTACACATATACATGCCTGCATACCGCCACTGAACACATGTTTGGAAGACACTGTGTCCAACGAACGACTACATATCTTCAACATGACTCTACATAAGGAAGTTAAGCAGTTTAATGGATCAGAGTTTCTTAGCTCGGTGAGTGATCTACCACAAATGAGCCGGAGTTCCATAAATGGCTAATTGCCAGTCCTAAATGCTCTCCCACTGTGGCCGGTCAACAATATTCGGAATGAAAAAGGCATCAGCCTCAGCTGACAAGCAGTTGCAACCATAACACGTAGCATTAATCAGCTTATAGTGTAAGCACACTAAGATGAGCCCAAACAACGGATGTCTATATCAAGATTAGTCCACTTATAAAACCACACAGGCAGATTAGGTGTCTAATTCTATTGACCCCTCTGAAATAAATCTGGGTTTATTATCCAAGGGGCTCCAAACCTATGACTCAAGCCAAGTTCTGACAGGTGCTGTGGTAGACAGATTACTAAAGACCCACTACAACTAGATGATCCAGTCAAGAAATCCTTATCAGGGTTACATAGGCTTAATCTTAAAGAAATCAATTTCATTAGTTGTTCCCCTAAAGCATCACAATGGTCAGAGCTCTTTAAAGGATATCGGAGTGTGAGACAATTCAATCTCAGACATTTAACTTACTTGAGAATTCCATATATTTATACTTAGAGTTAGAACTTTTCTTTAAAAAAATATTTGGCTGTACAATGAAAAACAGTAGTATTGAGCAGTCAAGCCAGTTTTCTATCACTCGTTTTTTATCTATATACCATGAGATAATACAACAGTTGAGTGTGAGGATAGCACCGAAACTCAAATTAAATCAAAATCATGTCGACCTAATAAAGCAAACATAGACGGCAATTATCGCCTTCTTTCTGTTGAAATACGGAGCTGAGTTTTCTGTTTGTGCCTCATACTCATTGAGATGGAAATAATCCCATTTAATATTCGCTGGGGCACGAAGATGGCCTTTTATTAAAGGTCACGATATCAGAGTTTGCAAGCCACCCATTCTCCTTCGTACGACAACAATGCACGTTAAAACACACATGGTGCCAGCGTGCCCCTCTGTTATGTGAACAAGAACAATGATCGGATTAAGTCACTATGAGCAATTATACCACCAGGTCAGGTATGAAGCCTGGAGCAGGGGTGAGCAGTGGAACGACTGCACACCAGATAACAAAGCAGCAAAGTGACGATGAGCGGGGTCTTGTAACGATGACTAAAAGGTCAAAATGGCGAGGGGTGTCGGTGCTTTTGTTTTGAGCGTGCGACTCGCCACGCCAGGAGTGTTGGGTCAGACCGCCTGACTACACGCAGACAGACGCAGACAGACCGAAGCTTTGCGTGCAATATGGCGCCTGTCCACTTTGAAACGGAGCGGCAGCAACTTAAAACGCCTTATGCAACCGTTTGAAAAACTGCAAAGGGTAGACCACGGTGACCTTAACCCCTCACTGAGAGACGGGGGGGGGGGGTGAGATGCCTGCTTTTGGCCAATGGGCTTAGCCAAATTCACACTGGGATCCAGATGGCTGAAATGTTCAGGCGACTTCACAAACAACATTATTATTCTAAACTCATGCTGTATTAGACCAACTGATAGAAAAACCAGAAACATATATTTTCTTTCAAATATTTCACAAACCTGTTTAAAGTATCAGGTAATTATTTTGCTATTAAATCAGAACAACTAAATAGTCCTTTTTCTAACATGATAAACGATAAACTTCATATTGTAGAGCTTCAATTCTTCCTCTGATTTTTTTAAAATCTACTTTTTGACAGCTTTTCTTTTTTTAAATTTCCACAGCATTTTCAAGTCGTTCCCACAGACTTGCTTTGGATGAAACTTTTGTGTGATCAATGTTTGAATCTCCTTAATCCCACATGGACTTTGACTTGGCTCCCTCATCAGTTCCAGTACTCCAGATGTTTCTGGATGTCTGCGGGCCTCAGTTATGTTTTTTTTTTTGTAACTATTCTTTCCTTTAATCCTTCTTCCATCATCTGTTTATGGTCCTGCTCGAGACTTTCTCAAACTAGTTTTGCTGTTCAGGAACTCAGGTGAATAAGCAGAATTTGACATCTAAATCAAGAAATAATAATGTCCACTACTTGTTTTCCTTTTTTTTGGGTGAAAATGTGTTTTGTTTTGTTTTATAAATGCCCTTATAACAGTAACATATTTAAAATGTATAATTCAAAATGTCATTACAGTTAAAGAACATCTATATACTATTATATATAGAATTACATATAGAATATGAAAAATATGAAAGTATTTTGGTAACTTTTGGTATTACTGCTGTTGATTTAGGGCAACTGTGGCACAAACCTCAAGTATGGAACATTAGAGTTAGCACACATGTTTCTGAAGACTATTTCCACCAATTTGTTATGGCATTCTGTGTTTTCATTCCAGCCTTTAAAAAAAATAATTGCAGGTGTTGATAGCCTGATGTCATCCATGTAAAGGAGATGACAAATGGATGTTTGTTTTTTTCTTGGTAGATACAGGACTTGATGTGAACTTGTGCAATTGTGTTGAAATTGTCATTCACAGTCATAAACAGTTCTTAATGAAAACCTATCCTGCTAAGGTTCCATAGCTCCAAGCATTTCAGTATCTGTGTGTGGAATGGAGTCACGGGCTTTCTTGTGGTCAAGCCAGGCGATGTGCAGACCTACATGTTGTGCCTTTTGGCTACCAATATAGAATTGACAAATCACCCCAGAAAATTCCCCTCAGGAGACCACGCTGGACCCGGAAACTTAATCTCAAGACTAGACACTGACTCAAAGTTAGCGGTGCCCACAAAAACACTGGTTTGATGCAGATCAAAGACAATCTTTAATAAACTAGTGGTCCCTGGAAGAGGGTCTACAGTTGCTTTGCTGCATCATATACTGTTTAAATTATGTATTCCTAATCATAGCAGAATTCTTCAGGATAATGTAAGATCATATGTCTGAAAGTTGAACTTTAAGGGAGAAGGGGGGCATTCAGTAGGATAATCATCCAAAGCTTACTTGTAAATCCACAAAGGACTGGCTTAAAAAGAAGACAAATAAGGCTGTGGAATTGCCAAGTCAAAGCACAGACTTGATGCCCATTTCAACGTCTTATGTGTGGTCTTGTTTTTGATTATCTCAGTGAGACCAGTACTGGTACAATGCCCTTGTCCAGACAGATGGTCCTTATGTGTGCAAAAGGACTCGGGTCAGAGCTACAATGGGACTTGGAAATAGGTTAAGGTTGGCCATGCAGTAGGAATGGTTTTATATGTTTTGCATATGCAAAATGCATTTTGCTAAATGTGTTTTGCAATATACTGAACCTAGATAAGTAGAAAAGCCATGGTCATTTAATTGAAAGTACTACAAAGTTTTGAAAGTTGGAGTTTAACCTGAATTTACCAGTCATTCAGGGTTAATCTGTTTAATCTGACAGCGATAATCTCAACAGTATCTGACATTAAAAAAATCTACTTGAATAATGCAACCATGTTTCCTCTTGGAAAAGTCTATATAAAGTACATTTAAATGACAGAAGATAATTCATTTAAACGCAGTATCATGTATTAATGATGGAAAAATAAAAACAAATCACATTTTAAGAAATAAGTGAGGACAATTAAATAGTTGATGAAAATAAACCATAAAATACATATTTTGATGTGTAAGTGTTGGATGTAAAACTCCATATTCTCAACAGCAGCAAGTATCACATTCTCATAAAAAAGTTGTCACTCATCTTATTTCAAAACAATATCCTTTTCTTTTAGTGGCGTAAAAAATGTATCATTAAAACTTATAAAAAAAGATTATTTTTTCATTTTTAAATTCCCGAAACTTCTCACCTACATACTTAAGCATAAAAAAAAATGTGTCATTTGTTATTAAATGTACAAATCTAATAAATGTTTTGAAAGATTTTATGGAAACAATTTTGGATTTAAGCGTACAACCAAACCCTGAGTGTCTGTGCAGGATGCATGCATTACATTTAAAACCTGTCTGTAAACGGCATAACTTAGCAAAGTCGTGTCTATAAGGCATGTTGTTTATGGATAAAAAACAAAATCCTAAGGATTTAAAAATCAATAAAAATAGATGAGGCTCGAAAAACCAGCCAGGGCGTCCCTTGTAGCCACTCTGTTAACACTGTAAGTCGGATTATGGAGGGTGGAGTGATTATTGATTGACATTCTGAAGAGCATGTGTTCGTTTTATAGAAATTGGAGGTCCAAGTAAAAAAAAAAAAACACGACAAAAAACAGTCCCTTTACTGATCACTGCATTGTAATGTGTGTCTCTCATCTATTCATTGAAGATTACAAGTTAAATACAAGTACTGCACAAGACAGTTTCTTGATAAGCCTCACATGAGCACAATTTTTTAGAAGTAAGATTACTATTATTGACGCCATTTCAGACTGCATAAAACCCTCCCAGTCACTGACCAGTCGCCTACCCCTCTGATAGTTTTAAGCAACTGAAATTGCTCTGTCAAACATGGCCAAAAACGTGAAGACCCATCACAAGTCTGAGAAGATATTGATAAAGAGGTGCATTTATAAGATATTAGTATAACAGAGCAGCTACAGTAGTAACCACACACATTTAGAACATATTGAACTAAAAGATATGAAAGTCTGGACAAAGATTTAGACTTTATACTGTCAAAACGCAGACTACAACAAAGTTGGAAAGATCACGGTGCGCCTCTAATGTTAAATTTTCTGGGAAAATAGTCTAGTAACATTTAAGGAAACCTTTCGTGAAGTTCGAACTGCTTAGTATTCATTACTGAAAGAAGGGGATAAGAACTATCCCAAGTTTCTTTTCAGTACTGTAGCCACACTGACAGGTTCTTAGCTCTTTTGAACCACCTATTCCTTTAAATTTAAGTTGTGATGATTTAAACCAACAAAATTGTTTCTGTCAGATAGAAAATTCAGACAGTCTTTCCCACTATTATCGCCAAGTACAGCAAATTTAGCAGTATCTTTAGAAATGTCATTTGTACTTAAAATGTTTCTGTCAGGTTGATCTCTGAGCTAAGAAACCATCAACTTGTGTTTTAGACCCAATCACTACATGACTTTTTCATTTTCCACTTGATTAACACTTTAATATTGTACAAGATCTGTTTTCGTTGATAGGCTAAGTACTACTCTTCATCCTGGAGTGTTATCTAACTATCAGCCTCAAATCTGTGTTGTGTTTCTAAAGTTCTTAAGAATATTTTTGGAGCTAATCTTAGATAATTTTTACAGAAACAATGTGCTTACAAACTTGCATTAAGCATTCAGAGCACATCATGGGATAGCAACAGCACTGGTGACTGAGCCTCTGATAGTGGACTTGTGTCTGTGCTGGTTCTGTTAGATCTCAATGCTGCATTTGATAGGATTGATTACAACATTCTGCTACAGACACAAACATGTCATTGGGATCAAAAGGACTGCAATGGCTTGGATTAAGTCATATTTATCTTTGAGTTTCCAGTTTTTCCATGTAAATAAAGAATCTTCCTCATACAGCTAAGTAAGCTCAGGGTTCTGTGCTTGGATAAATTCTTTTCACTATATATGCTTACATTCGGTAACTTTAATAGACAGCATGGCATAAATGTCCACTGTTTTGCTGATGATGCTCAGTACTACCTATTTATGAAACCATGTCAAATTAATCAGCTAGGTAAACTTCAAGCATGCCGGGAAGACATGCAATACTGTGTTTGTGGTCCCTCTTTCCTGTCCTTTCAAACCTTAGCTGGTCGAAGCAGATGGCTGCCCTTCCTAAGTCTGGTTCTGCCAGAAGTTTGTCCCTGTTAAAGACTTTATAGTTTTCTTTTGGTTGTATACTGCATTCCACTAAACTTGGTTTCTAATTAGCTTGAATTGGAATGTTTAGAGTTAACATTTGTTGTGATTTTGGTGTTATATGAAATCAACTTAAGTGAAAATTGAATATCCATTCATTCTAGACTGATACCTAAATTTTGATCAAGATTTTCACTTCACTTATAAGTACAGTAATCAGTGTGTAATGTGGTTCATTAAACTGAAAGTGTTACAAGATTTTGCAGAAGTGTTAGAATTATCCATGTTCATTTTGTTGCAAAAGCTATTTTTTGTCACTTGCTTCTTTGCATATAAAGCAAATTCACTTAAGCAAACAGTAGGCACATAAGTAGGCACAGCTAAAAAATTGACTTGGAAGGCCGTAGCACACCAAACAAAATTGAATTACTCTTTCCAGTTTAAATGACATCTAAATCAAGAAACACCCTTAATGACCCCTTCCCCTCAGTGGAGTAATATTAATTGGGAAATGGTTTCTACCAGAGAAACATTTTAGACTATTTTGCACCACAATTCATGAAATAAATATACCTACCTGTTCTTGAGCTGTCTTTCCTGGGTACAATATCTCAGCTGCTATGAAAGCTGCAGACACATCAGGGCTCTGAGAGCAGCAGCCTTTACACTGCAGATATCTGGTAACAGAGCACTCCTTAGGACTCCAGATGGCATTATATGCTATGTAGATAGGTTGGAAAGCAATTTTCAGTTTGGTTTGATGTTTAATTCTCATATCTTTACTGTGTTGTTTTCATGTAATATTAGACACATAATTCTCAGTACCACTGTTAAATTAGACCAAAAGTCAACCCACCGGTTAAACTGTTTTTGTGGTAAGGTTGCATGGTTCGTCTCAGGGCCTTCAGTGATGGAAGACTTTCAACTACCAGCAGCCAGTTGTCGTTGTCTGGAATGGATGTTTGATTATAAGCACACTGACAACAGGAGGCCGGCCCAGGAGGTCTAAATCTGTCTTTTCTTAAAACATCCAGATGCTTTAACTCACACAGAGCAAGTTTTAATGCGCCTGAAAAGTTGAATCACAAATGAAAAGAATTAGGCATGATTTTTGCTTTTATCATTATATTTCAGTAAATTTGGAAATTAACTGAAAACATAGAAATTACCATGCGCATCAGGAAGCAGCTCCATTTCACAAAGAGAACAGTGAAGTCCCAGAGTGCACGGCTTCTGATTTTTGACGCTCTGTAGGTGATATAAAAGTCTGTCTCAGTCTCTTCTACCTGTTTGACAGCTTTGATGTTGTATGTCAAAAACGTATTGCATTCCAAAGCTTCAAAAATCAAAATCATGACATTTGGAAATTACAGTAAAATGAAGGAAAAGAGTTCTTACTTTTTGCTCAATTCTAGCTTTGAAAGTAGCATATATATAGAAGCAGATAAGAAGCATTTATATTCCATTTATTTTGATAAAAAAATAAAGTGACAAATGACCGACAATAACTAGATAAAAGCAGAAAGATGTAACCAAGTTATGAGTTGAGCAATTTGATTTAACAAGGCAAAGCACTAATCTTGATGTGTGTGTGTGGTCCTTGCTCCGTGCATTGCTGTGGCTCGGGGCGGGTCAGGGTTCGGGGGAGTCTTGCAGACAGGTTTGGTGAGTTGGAGTGAGACACTGTGCTTGTTTCTGGGGTTTCTGGGCCTTCAGTGGGCTGGATGGCCTGCTTCAGGGGGTATGTGGACTGCAGGGTTTGGGTCCACCTGGGCAGGCTCGCCAGCGGTATTTGGGGGCCTCGGATGCCTGTGCTTGTGTGGTGTCCTCCCTTTTGCTCCTGGGCTGGTTCAGGGGGAGGTCTCCTGGACTCTGTTCTCTTCTTGTCGCTGTAGGGTGCGGGGTTCGGATTGGTGAGCGGGCCTGGTAGAGGGACCTTTGGGTTGTGGCACAAATGACTGGGGGTTTGGGGGAGGGTATTTGTAGTCTGAGTGCTTGATGTACAAGGCTGTGATTGTCTCATAAGGGTCTGCTCAGGGGTTGATGTTATATAGAGTTTGGTACGCATGTGCTTTAGTAAGTATACATACATCCAGATATGATCACTTTTTGTGGTATTATTGTCTAAAATAAAAAAATTAATGTATTTATTTATTTATTCAATGCCAAATCCTTACCCTTGTGTTTGGAGAGCTATTCTTGAACCTCCTGCGTTTCTGCTTATAAGACCTCATCACCTTTACAGCTAAATTGAAAAAACACAAACAGTTTTAGTTTAATCTCAGATATTTAAAGACTATTTAGAGAAATACTTCTAACATGGTAAATGTGAATGGCAGAAACTGTCTTGCTAAGGTCAATGCATGATAATTATGTTCAGTCAATAATAAAATTATGCCAAAATTTCTGTCACCTACACATGACACATATCTTGCTTTTCCCCCCCAAAATTTTTAAAAAATAATTTAAATGGAACACTAAAATTTGATACGAGCACAGTAACTTAAGCAAAGAGAGCTGTGCTTTTAGTGTTTTTTTTAGTGGTTAGTCATCTTATTCATTATCCAAACATCAAAGCACACGCTCCTGTCGGTTTTAATTTCAATTCAAGTAAATTCAGTTAAGTTTTATTTATGTAGCTCCTTGCCATCCCAAGACACTTGAAGCATAAAATCAAATTCAAGCTAATTTAATTTATTGTATTATAATTAGTCTTTTGAGATCCATCCATCCATTTCCTGGAGTCTATTCCAGCTGTCATTGGGTGAAAGGCAGAATACACCCTGGACTTTCTATTGCTGATTAAATCCAATTAATAGTCTAATTGGTCTAAATTGGTCTAATTCATACTTGCCTCGACCAGCTGGGAATTGAGAGAAAAGAAACAAGTGAAGAAGTACCGTGGTAGACGGCTGGGACTACAAATTAGTGACAACAATACTGTCAATATATGCAGGTAGAAAGGGAATTTGCCTCCATGGAGAAGGGCCTAATAACTGGAGGCTCTCCTATTCTGCCTTTAGAAACTCCAAGAACCACATGGAGAATGGCAATCCTAGAGCAAAGCGCTCTATTGTAAAATATAAAAAGATTTACCCATATCATCTTTAGACTATAAAGGAGTTTGGTTATCCATATGTGTGTATATATATATATATATACACAGTATATATACACACACACACACACACACACACACATATTATAAAAACTCTTAAACATCCTGCTCATCACCACTTGGTAAAGCACATTTTTCGCAGATTATATACAGTGACAAGTTATGCCAGAAGAAGTGCCCTTATCTAAACTAGCACTATAATTGATCTTAGCTATGTGATTAAGCATGAGTTGTTAAGTTTCACTCTTTTTGTACCGTAGTGGCATCCCAACAATCCATTAAAAAAGCTTTGATTCCAGTTGTTAATGCTCCAAAGAAATTAAGAACAAATTTTTTTTCACATTATTTTTTTTAAGTCTTGATGTTAAAGGATTAATGAACAGCAACTTAAGCGTATATTTAAAAATGTACCTTGTGGTTTGACGTGTTGAATTCCATGTCTCTCTCTTGCTGGAATATTTACTGTTTCAGCCTCTTCCAGACCCTCCCAGTCTTGTTGTTTAGAAGGAAGAGGGTCCGACTCATCCCTTGAGGAAGGGATAGATGTACATGTTTCTTTCTTCACTCTCTTTCTTGCAGAGACCCTATCTGAAACAGTGTCGCTGCGGTTAACACTTTCAGTCAGAACCTGCCCTGTTTTTAGGGCAGAAATCCAGCTGTTTTCCTGAACCTCTGGAGGTTGTTGATCATTTTTTGCACTGTTCCTTCTGCTGGATCCCAATTTTCTACTCTTCGAAGCTCGGCCCGGTAATTTTAAACCAGGATCTGTCCTGATCATGTCTGACTTCCTCCGGCTGCTCCTGTTCTCAGTCAGCTGAGGACTGACCTCGACTACGTGCGTGACTTTGAAGACTCCTGTGAATTTAGATGAAACTGTATGTTTTAGCAAACTGAAACACATGAGTACAGTATGTTTGTCACAGAAAGACATATATGTAGGGTTTTTCTAACTCTGCTTTTGGATTTTAAAAGCCATATTTATACAAAAATCAAATGAAAGACATGTAAAGCAACTCACAAATTAAGGGTCAAATGAAACTATTTTAAAACACTAAAATGCAAAGTAACCTGAAATGCTTTAAGATCTGGAATCCTTGGCTTCCTATTAATAGAGATTTAATCTAGCAAACTAATTTAAAATTCTTACAGTTTCATCCCACATTTTCAGTCTTTTTACCCTGCCTCAGAGATTGTATCAGAACTAAGAGAAGGTAGTTTATCCTTCTGGCTGTCGCCCAGCGCTTCTATGGAAGGATATATTTATTTAATGTACAATTGATCAAAAGTGGCTGTTTTTTTGCAGCCAGAAAAAAACATTTTAACCGAGCTAACCTCACTTGTCTGTTCTCCCAACTTGTGTTTTCTTTTATTTTTAAAGGCTTTGCTAAACATCTTTAATATTCTATTTAGCATATTCCGTATTTTTGATGAGTTAAATAAGTTTGAGTGAGTAAGTAAGGTTTGATGTTTTCCAGCTAAGGACCATGTCATTTTATGTTTAGAGTTTCTATCTTTGCTTACAGTAACAATTCAGTTTGTTATGAAGCAAATCTAAGTCAAGAAAAATGTATAATACAGGGTAGATTTGATGATGTGGCTCTGATTAGATCAATTACATCAATACCAGAAATCCATCTGAGAAAACAGCATTTGCTGAATAACAGCTTACTCTATGGATGGGAAGGTCTTTCTGTTGTATTTTCATTTGGTGATTAAGGTTAAAGAATATTTTTTTATGCGTAGCCTTAGTGATTTTGTTGTTAAAAGGCAGGATTTGTTAATGGCAAAAAGCACAGAGTCTTAGTCATGTGGGTCTCCTATCAAATGCTTTTAACACACATTTGCTCGCCTCTCCATGCTCTGAGTTTGATTATGCTAACAAGCGCTCATGCTCAATTACAGAGACAAGAGTCTTGGTTAGGCCGCTGATGAACAAAAAAATGCCCTAATGGAACACTTGTCTACTCCTCTACATGATCACACATTGGTGAAGTTTGTCATGTAATGAGACAAATCAGTGTAATCATGTTTTACGACATAGTTTGGTCTCCTTTCAGATCGGCCTGTTTGATGATCCTCCAGTTAGCATTGGGTTGATTAAATGACATCCGCCTCTTGGGTTTGGCCAACCTAATACAATAGCTGATTACAGAGACTGCATTGGACAAGCGGGCATGCCAAACAACTGTTCCTCTATTAAGAAAGTGTAAGATAAGGATTTTTTATGTGAATGGACTTCAGCTCTAAAGATGAATACAGACCCTGACAATGAATGTAAAAACCAGAAAACAAATTCCACGTGAACTTATGTTGTAACTAGAAAGGAGACGGGGTAATCACTAATAAATAAACAATGCATGAAATGCAGCCCACGTAACAGTAATGATAATATTTTCTCTTATCATTTATATCACCTAAAGTGAGGATGTTACTGTCAAGAGATATTTAAACAAATTCTGATAAACTATTGTAGTTAAAGATTTACTGAACAGTTTGCTGTGCCACCTTCAGCTTCAGTACAACAGGAAACCAACACCAGCACATCAATGTTGGTTATTCAATTGGGACTGAATTCTTTTCAAACATTTGTCAGATTTGACACTGTTTCCTCTTTTATAATTCATTTTTATTTTAATGCTAACTTCTTAATGTAAGATTTCTCATTTTTATGGAGTGGGGAAAAACAAAAGAAAAAAAAACGTGAAATTTCAAACATTACATTTTTATTGTATTATTCTTATATGCAAATGTTTGAAAGTGTAACAAATCAATACCAACCCCATTAGAGGCACTTCAGTTTAAAGCATGAAATGACTTAATAGGAAAACAAATCGGAAAAATAAAGTGCCCCTTTTTGGTTAAATCAGGCATGATAGTATATGCACGTTCTACTCCCATTACCTACAGACACATCATTAAACAGAACTAAATGATTTTGCACATCTGAAAAAACACAAATGAGCTCTTGCTTTTGTATTATAATGATTTGCTAAGAAAGGCTTTCAATCAGTGCAGTGCTTTCGATAATGTTGGTTGGTTAACTGAGAACAGGCTTAATAAGATAAGCTGTCACACTACATTAGAAGCTGATGTGACTGCTGGAACCTCATCATCTACTGCATGCATGGTATTACTGTGTGGTCTAATTGCCTGAGGCAGTTGTGACACAGTGAGACACTTGACAACGCGACATTAAAGGAGTTCGGAAAAGGCTATAAACTAGGAGGGATCATTTTCATTGCACTTGCATAAGTGTGAAACATTACCTATTTTCTGGGAAAGACATCCTGTTTTCAACTATTTCACGTCTCCAGGTTGCTGGTTACCTGTTTGAGTGGTGGGGTTTCTCTGCCTGGACTTGGAAAGCCTCAAAAGCCTACTCCCTGTCTGACTGCTTGGGGTTTCACCCTCCGTTCTCTTCTCTCTTTGCTCCTGTCCTCTACTTTCTTCTTCATGCTCATGGGAAAGCTCTGCGCTCACCACAGTGGGTGAAATGGGACTCGGCCCATCAGAGGCAGAGGCAAATATTTTGTCCTGTTCAGAGACAAACGGTTCTCTCGGTTGCCGAGTCGGGCTCTTTGTTAACTGGACATTTGTGGGCGATGATTCGGGGGGTGCCTCCCTCTGTGGGCTACTTTCAGCCCCCTGAAAAAGTTCTGGAGTAAAGAAAATGGTCTTGTCCTCGTCTTCATCAATACCGTCTGCAGAAGCAGCTTGATTTTCATGATTGGAAGGCTCTTTTGACGGAGACGGCTTTGAAGCCCGTGTACCAGACTCCATGTTGACTTCACGGGAACTGTCTTCAGCCCCTTGTTTAAAGCAAACTGTCTCAGGCTTCGGTGTGGGACAGGATATCCAGTTACTCTCGTGCTGGACATTACTTGGTTCTTTTGCTTTAAAAATTGGCTTCTTCAGGTTGAGGCCTTTGGGGCTGCTGGTGAATATGTGGTAGAAAGGTTTGGCCTTTCTATGTCGATTAGAGAGTTGCTCTGTTGGAGGACCGTGCAGCATCTTCGAGGTTTCTGGATCGAGAAGGTAAAAATCAGGGTTTTTTTGTTACATGATATCAGCTTTCAGGGAATACGTTTTACATCCTAAAACCTCAGAAATAACTGCAAGACTGCTGTGAATGCCCAGGGAAAATAAAGATATAATACATGTGGGCATACGCTCAATATAACCCAAACAAAGGTCAAGGGGATTTAATTAAAAGCAACAGTCCAACATCTGCTCATCAGCTCGCTCCAGCGCCACTCAGGCACGCAAAAAGACCTTACAGTAATGAGGCAAGCCACTCAACTGATCCCATGGCCCCCCCTTATCCCCAACTATAAGGGAGGTGGAGGAAGGGGGGCTAATGCCTTTCCACCACCACACTGAATTCAACTGGGCAAACAGCTCAACCTCGTCATGACCCCGCAGACAATGGGTGCTCGCCAAGGCGATGTGCAAACATGTCACCTCAACATATTTCCTCGTGGTGATGTAATGCTCTTGCGCTCCTCGGCGCAAAAAAAAAAAAAGGAATTCAACGAAACGAAAGCAGAGCTGTTACACAGTTTGTTCCATGCTCTGAATTAAATACGCTAATTTTGCTGCTAAGAAACGCTGCTCTTGAATCACGTTCCTGTCTTAAAACCGACAACCCAGAGATGTTTTCATATGCCCCAAAACAGGACAATGTTGTAACAAACGTCTCGTGGCTGAGAAGGAGACATGGCCACGTTGTTTCAAATTTGAGCTAACTTCCCACCATTTCTGATTGCCCTTCTCATGTTTCGGTTCGTCGATCGTATACAGTTCCACGATTACACGAGTAACACACACAACAACAACAAAAAAACACGTAGCTAGTTTGACGGGAGTGGCTCTTTCTGCTCGAAGCATTAGCAGGTCTGCATTGGGCCACGTGTGAATGGCTACCAAATCTCCCAGAGCACTTTTGCATACTCTATGCAAAATGCATGCTGAGATGAGCTGCTGGTTCACACTGTAAGGACTGGGTCTGCGTGGTGCTTTCCACTCACTTGTCAAAACTACGTCTATTTCCAGCACAAACATAGTCATTATGGAGATGTACAGGGCCCTTACAGGTTCTGTAAACTGGCAACCGTTTTAGGTTCCTTTACCCCCCCCAAAAGTATAGTATATGATCAGCTTAGTCCCTGGAAGAGGGCTGAGCATGAGAGAAGGATGATTATCTTTTTAAAATCAACTGTCTTGACCAACAAAAACCTGTTTTAAATTAAATAGCAGTCTTAGATTAACGTGCAAGCTCGGAAACCTGACTATTATAAACACTTTTATTCATCTCACCCGCTTTAATGCCATTTTCAGCTTTCAGTGACAGAGAGGCCGAGGGGCTCATATCCTGCTGGGGGTCAGGTGGTTTGACACAGGATAGGGGTGTCTCCCCATGTGAAGCCTCCCTCGGACTCTGTCTCTCAGCAGCTGCTGGGACGGGATTCTTTTCGGCAGAAGCGAGGCTCTGGTTGTGTGCCGGGGTGACCGCCACCTTCCCCTGCACCTGAGAGAAGGCTACCAGAGACTGCATGGCATCGCCAAAGGTGTTGTGATGCTGGACGAGCTGACGGACCCACTTAGACAAACCTGGGGTAAAGAAAAACAAATGCTTTCAAAACTCTTGGAATGGAGGACTATTGCCACCTAGTGTTCAATATGAGAGGTTATTCCACTTCGGGTGAGAAGGCTGTGTACCTGTGATGTACTTATTTGGGTTATTCCTGAACCGGTCATCCACAAGAATTAGAGCACCCCAGTCATTTTTGTGGCGGATACACCTGGAAAATCAGGATGGAATGTTTGTTTACATGAGAGGGAACAGGACATGATCTTTAATACACACTGGAGTAGGTGCCAAATTTACCTTCCCAGGGCTTGGTTCAAAGCTCTGTAGGCCTGGATCTCGTACCAGTGATGGCCAGAAAGAAGACCTCTAGACTTGCAGTGCTGGTCATTGTATTTCATCTTCAGTTCCACCTACAAGGTGTTGAGTCAAATGAGAACACAATAAGTGATTACATTCTTACATTCAGCCAAAATGACAATTAGATCAACAGGATTTAATATAGTTTTTTCTCAAGTCTTATTCTGCACTATTATCTTATTTTTTTAGTAAGTAAACAATATACTGGACAATATGCATCACAAGTATCAAAGTAAATAATAATCTCAGACAACAGCTTGTTTCATCAGACAAACAGCACATACACTAGTTCTGAAACCAAGGAAAATACATTCTATCTCCAATTTAACACCCAGAGACAAATTCCGAAGCCAAAGATTTCCCTAGTTACAAGTGCCCTGTTGAAACCTTGGTCTAACGGGTTTCTATGTGGCTGTGGACTCCATTTCCTTGTTTCCCACAAAAGCTCTGATTAGCATGATTCACCAACAGCTGCTCTAGAAAAGCAGCACTTTATATTACTCAGGACCTGAAAGGCTGAGGTGTTACCTGCCATCGTGCAGAGACGTGTTTCTGAGAGGGGGATAGAGGGGAAAAAGAGAGGCCACGACTTAGTGGATGGGAAGTGGGAGGGGGTAGGCAAGGGGGTCCGGGCACATCAAACATCCCTGCACAAAAATGCCATGAAAGCATCCAACCATTTGCATCTGTCGCTGCTGATTTTAGCGTTAACCTTTTAAAATTGACAAATGAAAAGTTCAGCTGGCGTCTGACGGGTTGCCATGCGGGGCAGGCTGCTGAGCGGGGCTCTAACTGTATTTGACAGGAACCGTGTGCTCGCCCAAAGCCACAAAACATGGGGCTGTGGCAGGTACAGCCTGCTCCCTAACGCGCGTCACGCAACGCTACTGTGACCTGCTGGGGCTTATGTACATAAACAAATAAGAAGAGTCACAGGATGTTCTAAATGTTGCTGCAAAGTTTGCCTATGACTAATCCCGCCTCGGCTCAGAAGCAACCCAGGCAACAATGCCACACCTGTAACCTCAAACCAACGAGGAAAACATTTTATAACTACCAGTATTTGGGCCCGAGTGGCGCCAGAAGATTTAGAATAGAGGAGCCGGCTGTCGGCGGGAGAAAAATCATAAAACCATATCACAGAAGGCCTTGTGAATGCTGCTGGCTCCATGGTGAGAGATTTGCCAACGTATGAGACACCACAGCAGTTAAAGAATCCACTTCTCAATACCCAGAGAGGCTGGTAGCCTAGAGCCGGCAGTGTCATCTAAATCCAATCACAGTCCATCCCAGCTCTCGAGCTGTCGCATTCCCGGTCTGTACCATGTCACTGTCCAATCTAACTTGACAGGTTGCATATGTGAAAAAGCCAATTCTGGCTGCTAGCAAATATCACAAATGTGCAAGAAACCACAAGCTAGAAGGGATTAGTTAAAATGTCAAGAGATCACTCGCTTGCTTCGGCCCTGTCCTCCGCAGCAACCTGTTCATCCCGAAAAACATATATTTGACCACTAGGCACGATTCGCAGCTGAGCGCATCTGCCTGAGCTACATTTTACGCGGGGTGCGCGTGTGCGCCGGTGTGCATGCCCCGGGCGGTCCGGGACATCTTGTGCCTGTCACTGAGATTGTTGAGCGCCTCATCTGCCACATGTGGCCGGGCTGACAGTTGAGTGGCTCGTCCTCGACACAGCGTCCACGCGTGCTTGTGTGTGTGTTCACACTGGCGGGGGCATCAAACTCTCGCACTCCTTTTCCGATGTGCCCATGGATCAGCACACACAGGAGCTGCGGCGGGTCCTCTTGCCCTTAAATTCTGCTCGGCTTATGTTCTGCTCTATTGCAGGCTGTTGATATAACCCTCTAAAGCTAGGTAGCTACGCTTCACACAATATTAAAAAGCCTGACTGGAAACTATGAATAACATCCGCTGTGAATGGCAAATACGACTGAACTCTACTAAACCGAGCAGCGGCGTCTGCTTCAGAAACCTTCATCATCATCATCCTAAACATGCCCTCATTCATTTAATTTGCTGGATAAAAACAACTTTAATTTAAGTCTTGCCTTTCCTTTCAGCCTCAACCAATATTAAAAATCACTCTATGTAGTCTTCCATAACCCAATTCAGTTCGCTCTATATCCCCAAGAATTGTTTATCTCAAGCATCACTACAGGGACCTGAGTCCCTAAAAATCTATTGCCTTGATCTCAATAGCATTTGAACTTTGATTTGAGTTTTTCTAAAATGCAGTTTTTTTTTTAAATATCCGTCCATTTGCTTCTTGTGTCTGAAGCCTATCCCAGCAAGAAGGTAAACTCCATATACAGTATATATATATATATATATATATATATACAGTATATATATATATTTGCATGTGTAAATATCTGCTTTGTTGAAGAGATAAAAAGAGCAGAGCATGTATTAACAAAAGTATAATGTCTTTTATCTTAACCTGACCTGCGGTGCTGACATGGAAAATTCAAGTGGTGATCATTTATCATAAAGCATTCCTTGAACTCCTGATGATAAAGCCATGTGTAAACCGTCTTGAGTCTACGGGAGCATTAATCATCCCCTCTTCTCCAGGACTGCCATGAACTCTTTAACATTCCTCTAAAATCCCTCATATTCCATCCGTTTTACATGCTTGCCTGCCTTCCTGTGCCTTAGAATTAAAATTCTCTGACTTTAATAAAAGACAGCTCTTCATTAAACTGGGAGAGATGCTTTATCAGATGTGTCTTTTTATTGCTTGTTAACGCTACTTATTGTTCGACTTACTCATGCAGGACGTGACTGTGCATTGTAAAAACAGGCCATTGGAAAAACTCAACATAAATGCAATACCACCGTTAGCAGTTCTTTCTCTCCAGAGAACTTTTAAGTTCAACCTTTGATCTTTGTCACAATAACACAACAGGCCAGTAAAATGCCATGCTATGTGCTTAGGTTGTAGCATATACGAGTTATGCCTGTCTGGGAATGCAGGCCGTGCAGGCATCCAGAGTGCTGGAGTAGTTTAAATGGAGAAAAGCTGGGGCTTACACCTCTTATCCTAGCAATGGGGTGCTGCCGTGTGAATGTGCAACAGAATGAATGAGTTAATATGTCTGGGTTCATGTGTGCGCACATGTTAGAATGTGCACACGTTGGTACTAGCGCTTGGTAGTGACAATATAAGAGCGTGTCATTAATCGGTATGTGTGCCTGAGCGTACATGGATTTCGGTTTTACTGTGAACATATGGAGTAAATATCACAACACATAAAAAGACAAATGAAAGAGAGAAAGAAAGACAGCCATTACTCAAACAATCCATATAAATTTAGATCACCTGCAAGGAGGAAACAAATGTTCAAACTTTAAGTTTCATTAACATAGGAAGAAAAATAAATAAATGTGTAAGATGACAGAGAAATACAAAATGACTTTGAGAGGCAGTTTTAAAGAATTACACACTGACCAAATGGACCACTTAGAAGAAAGGGCAATTACATTTCTATGCAACAGCACTCCTGTCCACTCTAATTAAGTGGTGTACATGGTAGGTATGTGTGTGTGTATATATATATATATTCATTAAGTAGGTTAATAGAGTAAGGTTAATAAGCAGAATTCTGACTTCCCAGGTAGAGTGAATGTAGCTTGATTTGACATTATGCTTACAGATTAAAGTGGATCATTCCACAAAGACCAGGGAATGTGACATGACAGCACCGGGCAAACCTGGATAGTTCAGAGAATGCAATATATCTCTGGTTTCTGGTTGTGAGAAGTGACAAGTTTGGGTTATTTCAGATGGAAATCACTTCAGATTTTAAATGTATGAGCTTTAAAGAGAAGTAAAAGGCTTAAATGGATACTTAGAGATTTTTATTCTCAGAAACTTAACAAGGTGTCACGCTTAGGACGTATCAGCTAATTCCTTGTAACAAACTGAAAAATAAGACAAAAATAAAGAAAAAACTGGAATAGGGAAAAAGTAACCTCTCCCATGTGTTGCAGTCGCTTGAAATGTGGGATTTCTTCCTCAGCAAACCCACTTTTTGAGTCTAAATTTTTTCATTCTGTGTCAAGTGTAACCTGCCAATGCTGTAAATGAATGTGCCTCTGAGTGCCATCAGGCCATATTTGATACATTTAGCTTTTTACAGCAGCTGAACCAGGATGTCCCTGTTTTTCTTTTCATTTCACTATTAATTCGAAAAACTGCAGACAACCATGCCTGTGTTGCCATTCGTACAGTTTTACAGCTGTACCAAGCCTCTATTCACAAATGGTACATTGTTTCATGTCAGTTTTTTTTAGCACAACTGTGTGTCCACATTTTAAAAATTATGACAGCCGAATAGAAAAAGAACACGGGATGCTGATGTTCTTCATCAATGGACTCTGGAAACTGGGATATCAGCACTAACTTTTGGGTTATAATTGATTTATCCTGGCAGAGCGAGTCGAAGATTTTCACTCACTTAAAATCTAATTATGCCATCGCCATGCCAGGAAAAAATCCATTAAATAAATATCATGGGACCACTGAGCGTTGAGATTCCTTTTCAACTAAGACATGGACAGTGGCGAATTAATTTTCTCATGTGGTCATATCTAAAAAAGATTCAAATTATTACATTAGCCTGTTTGTCTGACCCTTTCTGTCACTTAAAGGGCAAAGAGTTTCTCTGACAGAGTAGACAGACCAATGTCTCTGCAAATTCAACATGCTTTAGGACACTGCTGCATGGCTTTGTGGTCATTATTCTCAGTGTCCTCCCCATCCTCTCAGCTGTGTCCCAGAGTTTGGCTCAGAGAACTTTACAGCCGACAAGGACCTCTCCTGGGGCTACCTCTTCCCTGTTAGTTTACAATGAATGGCTTGGCCCCAAAAGAGCTAAGATGATGACAAAAATACAGTTGGAAAGAAGAAAAAGAGATGACATGAAATAGAATGATCTAGACTTGAAAATGTGTAAAGGAAAAAGATCAAATTAGAGAACAAAGAATGTCTGCGGTCACTAAGTGGTGAACGGCTTCCATTTACAGTAGAAGTCAAGCAAACCTAAAAATCTAATTCGACATACATTTGTTATTAAATGCTGACAAGTTGGAACTGCCACAGATTAAAAGACAACTGAAACAAGAACAAACAAGTGCGCAAACAACTTTCTTTCCGTTGTGTAATTAAACACGGAAATGGGAGAAAGTGCCTGTCAAAGGCATCGGAGAGTTAAAGTGACAGCAGTCACCAACTGAGTCCACGACACGTAAAATTATGACAAGGGATGGCAAGAGACGCCGAGCTCTCTGCGGAGCACTGCACATGTAGCAAACAAACAAAGGCTGTTGATGTGGAGCGCAGAATATGTCATCAGAAATGCACATTCTCTTCACGCTCGGTCAGCTCCACCTTGGCCCTAACTAGCTTTGGCTTTCTCAAACCTCCCCCTGGTGCTGTGCGCCATTCACTCATCTCCTGTTTTTTCCTGTCTGTTACACCTAAACATCACTTTCATGATACTGTATTGTGGCCTTGATTGTGTCCGTTTAATGACTTTGCTGTCCAAATAAATGGGGGGGAAACGTAATCGTTCGGAATCCTGCGTTGGTTAACCAGTTTGGATTTATTTCAATAATATGTGAAACCATCCATTTGAGACACTTCTGATTTTAAGGAGAACGCTGATAGACTTAACAAGTCTGTATTTTGTCAAACCTCAAAACCCGTAAGCTATGTGTTCCATCTTGGGGCCATTCATTCTCTAACAGTGAACTCACTCCATCTGTGCCCCAAAGCTATCTGTGCTATCGACCATGTCCTCGTTATTCAGGCACAACTGTTATGAGGATGAATGTCCGTACTCGTGGCAAAACGTCAGTTAATTTTTGAGGGTGTAATTTTGAGGAAGTTTAAATATGTATGCAGGGACCATAAAAAGTCACTGTGTTTCATTTGATCAGGAAATCTAACTGTAAACAGTTTTTTTAAAGCCTAAAAAGTTAAGAAAACCAAAAGAATAAACAATTACTGAATGCTGACAGGGGTGAAACTGACAGCTGAGGTGAAAGGCTAAGGTGAAAGGGTCTAAGAAGCTTCAATCACTCACACGTCTTTCTACACTGACAGAACAGGTTAGTGAAAGCTTCATCATGCTCTGACAGGGAGATGAGTAAAGGGGAGGAGAGGTGGGAGGCAGGGGAGCCTCAAACTTAAAGGTCAACTTTATCTACTAAGGACGGGGCAGACACAGCAACATCGCTTTGGGAATTTTTTTCACGGATCACCAAAAAGGGATGCTCTTATTTGGTGTGGGTTTGTGTGAGGATGTCCGTGCGTGTCTGTGAGATGTGTTTTGTTGTTTCCTATGTCTGCATAGTACCTAAAGTGTCAAATCATGGAACTAAATAAACCCAACAGAGAACACAGAGCAAAACTCAGCCACGCTGTGATAAAAACATTAACTAGGACAACAGCGATAAAAATGTTTTGTTTTTTTTGCCTGTGATGTTTTTTTTTTCTTTTTAAATGAAAAGGTTAAACATCCCAGCTGTTAGCATAGACGTTTAAACAGTGCTAATGAGAACCAGGCAAAGCTCTGTAATTCATGACAAACAAGAGTTCTGGCTCAGCTGTCTGATGGGGAAATTCCCGTGTACATTTAGGGGTGCACTGACATTAATTAGAAACAAGAGCTCGGGGATGGAGTCATCACAGCAACAGACACAGAGTAAGCTCAAGCAACAAAAAACAGAAGGAGTACGGTGATTATGATTATTGACTATGGTGCTTTTCAGTATCATAACATGCACATAGAAGAAAACTCCAGTTTTTACACAAGTTAAAAAGAAAGCGTCCCAAAGTAAGTCTTTATGAAGAAGAAGAGAATTGATAAGAACAGACAAATGAAAGTAAAAAAAAGTAAAATCATATTAAATAGACTCAAAGTTAAAAAAAAAGGCGACTGACAGATGATGAGTTAGCTTCATAGTTGTTGCTTATAGCTAGCTAGCTCATTTTGTGTTGTCGTGTTTGCTTTGATTGGCTCGGTCTGTGAAGTGGATGACTTTCCTATTTTGAATTCATGAAAAGAATGTGATCACACGATTTCTGTTTCCACTTTGTGTTTGCTGAATATTAGTGAAAGTGCCTGATTTCTGTTATGACAGATGAATTATAGTCCTGTATTACGACTAAAAGTAAATACACAACACTACAAAATTACAATAAGATATAACCTTACGATTATCATCTCTGCCTCACAAATTAAGCTTCAGTGGTCCATTTCAATACTGATTCTCCCTCTAAACACATTACAAATAATGGTTATGTTATGTCGCGCATGTGCAACATTCAGCTGGAGGTTCGTTTTCATCACAGCTTAACTAAATATCTCGTTTATAAGTGGAACCAGACAGCAACATACATAACAATGGCTCTGCTTAAAATAAAAAAAAATAAAAAAATAAAAAGGAACAGCGGGACAGTATTTAGTTATTTGTGTATCTTGACAATAGTCAATAGCTGGTGAGGGAGCTGCTGGGGGATAACTACGGGCTTTGTAAAAATAATTCTACTTGCCTGGAGGTCTTTGATATTTGGGAAGGGAATCCCAATTGTCACCACAGCCCTGGCATTGTCATCTGTAAAGTCCAGCCCTTCGCTGACTTTACCCCTGCACACGGCGATAAGAAGTGCACCGACTACAGCGACAAAAACACAGTTTATATCTTTAAATCTGGGAAATATATTAAAATTGTGAAAAGTGTTGATAAGTATGGTCAAGTATGGCTGTGTTAAAAGTATAACTGGGTGACTTTTCAATTTTAGGTCAACAAATATATATATATAGAGAGAGAGAGAGAGAGAGAGAGAAAGAGAGAGAGAGAGAGAGAGAGAGAGAGAGAGAGAGAGAGAGA